TGAATAAAGGCCAATATATTTCCTTTAAACATTTTCATAATATATTACCTGAATTAGAGACCAGAGGAGCAGCGTTTTAAATGTGTCTACACGAAATCATAGTTGGAATTATTACCCAATTGGAAACCTTAAGTTAACCTTTGCCCTTTACAAAAATATATCCGAAAGGATTACGTTGCCGACCTAAGTACCATAATAAAGAAATAAGTTAACATATAAAACTCTTACATTTTCATTTTTGTGACTTTTAAACTTGATCCTCATTGCCAATATTTTAATCTTGATATTTGACTTTATAACAATGTATGAATAAAGTTTTGGCCCCTTCAATCTTTATTGTATTCAAGTATGAATACGGTAAATTAAAACCGCTATTTTCAAATGTTCAAATCAAGGGATGTGACCTTGACCTCTGACATCGTGACCTTCAGAATGATTATTGTGCCGAGAACTCAATAACCTGTACCCTACAGATGTAATATAAGATTTGTAGGGAAAATCAATAAAAACAAATAATAACAACACTGATTTCCATCACAAGATATATTTCTTTTGTGTTGTCTTGCTTATTTGTCACTTCGGCAGAAACTTCAAAGACATTGGTTATCGCATTTATGTGACGTCACAACTCTCTTTTAGCGTTTGTTTCATTCAATTAGACAAAAAAACACTTTCCAATACTTTATTACAGTTTCTAGCAGTAGAACGAGGATCAATAAGAAAATAATGCCGTTTTATGGTTAAAACAGCAAGAAACAATGGACATAACCGTAGTAATACATTCCCTTGAAGCATTTTGTCCTGTACTGGGTAACAAAGAATATCCATTAAAGACGATCGTGGCCATACCATGTGAAATCGTTTGTCATTAATAGAACTAGTAACAGTTGAACACATTTGTTTCCATTTCTGCCTTCTTTAACCAACCATATGTGCTTATCGTAGGATCTAAGACTGCAAAGTTTGGCTACGTGTATTTCATACTACAGATGTGAAATAAATCTCCTCTATCGTTTTCGTACAGTTGCATTTTACAAAATAAGTTGTCATGAAATCAGAACATAATGACATCGATCTATAAGCACAGACCATTTTCAGATGAGTGGTCTTGGAGTGGTACATGTATATATAAGATTTTTACGTGAGTTTAGCAGTGCAAGAATGCTATGATTACCTTGTAAACACAAAATCTCGTCCGGAGAGCGATAACGATTATGTGCTGAAATGTTAAATTGGGCACCTAAAACGAAACCCGCAGAATAAATTTGAATTAGCAAAGCATTTAAAATAGCAAACGACGAACATCTTTCTAATAACTTGTCGCTCTATCGAAGGACACCTGTTCGATCAAAGGGAACCTAAAGCAATGCATAACAGTTGATGTGAAATGATAGAAAAGAGCAAGATAGCCGAACATTTACATCGAATCATTGACATAAAACACAAAATTGAAGGAATGCATACTCTTTGTAACTTGGCACGATAGGTTTCTAATGTGAATGATTAAAAAAAAACTTACAGTTTTTTTTCTGTACGATGCTTCATGATTCTTTAGCGTCTTTGAACTTCAGACTGGAAAAACTTTTTAAAATGGCGACCGATTTCGCCTCAGCAGACGAACACGCACCGTTGATCTTTTTTTTTTTTGCGCATGTCCATTTCATTCAAACAGACACGTGTCAGTTTTGTGGGCGGGCTCATCACTTGCATCCAACATTGATTGGTCAACAATGTAATCTTGGAGTTTGATTGACAGAAATTGGCGACACTGACGACAAGTTAACACAAACTTGCAGTTATTAAAAAAGTAGGGTATTTTAGGATCTGCACTATCGGTATATTAAGAACATGGTGAATATGTTTCAGAATTTTTCACTGAAGGCTTATTGAATTTGATTTCTTTTTGTAATAAATAACTATCATTTCAAAAGATGGTTGATAAACCTCATTAATGAAAATCATATATACAATAACGGACGCATTTAGCAGGAAAATACTTCACTATTAGAATGTTGAAAAGGGAGGGGGATAACTCTAGCATAGACTTAATGTGTTAGTAATTTTGGTTTAGGTTTGCAGGATTTAACGTCCTATTTATTAACAGCTAAGATCATTTTTAAAGACTTGCCTCCATGTTATTGTGTAAAATCTTATATATCGAAGATTTGAAGAAAAACCCAATGAGATGTGTTTTTTCTATGCAAATCTAATGATTGCTAAATAATAGTAAGGATATTTGTTAGAAAAAGAATCCCAGGCTATTTATATTCTACAAACAATGCTTATGTAATAGTAATAGCCATATAATAAATATATTTTTGTACATCTTACAAAAACTTTGTTTAGCTCAATTCAAAATTAAACAACTCTATGATAAATGTATTTAAGTCATTTGTGGTAATATATCTAAATGCAGGGTTCAGAATCTGTCAAATCAGAGTCATATATATGATAAAGCCATCAAACCTGTTCGTTTGTGTGGCTGTGAAGTTTGGGGTTGTGTACCAATAAACCTATTTCTTACGTTAACCAATGTCCTTCCTGTCCAAGCATGTACTGATACTCAACCATTGGTGTACATACATTTCTCTCCGCTTAATTGCCTGTGAGAAAAGAAATTGTCGTTTTCATTGCAGCGTGGATCTGATGCCAACTTATAGTGGCACCTCACTGAAAAACCATGGAGGCTGGGGTTCGATTCCCCGATCGGACATGAAAAGGGTCACCTGCCCGATCACGTGGGTTTTCTCAGGTGCTCCGTTTTCCTCCCACAATATGACACCCTGTGCGCTAACATCCAGACCAACAAGAGTGATTAATATAAGTTTAAATAGGTTGTTTCATAATCATTTTTAAATAAATAAAGTTTATAGCGAAACTAAGAACATACTTGAAAAGAGCCGAAAAAAGCACTTAAAGATTTATGCAATCTTCAGGAAAAGTTTGATAACATTTGCCAATAGGATTGCCACAGTCAATCACACGACGTTTTGACGCGTTTTCAATTGTTACGTCAAAATAAAATGCCGTCATGTGATTGTGATGTCATAACAGGTCAAGGTCACCAATCTTTGAGTGCACTCATGTGAATATATTTACATTTGCTCTTCGTCCTTCCATTGTAATGCATCGAGAAGGCAAATATTGTTATGAGACGATAACAACGTTTGCTTTTGTAACGTCATCGATATCTTTATGACGTCATCAACTTCATTGTTGTCAACACTTTTGAAATGTTCTGTTTAAAGAACTGTTCGAAATAACTAAAGCATGACTACTCTATCAAAATGTAAATATAAATTACCGGGCTTTATTTAGTTTGTCATCAATAACAATGTGTGTTATTTAAGCATTGAACTGCTTTCAGTTGGTATTCATAGGCATATATGAATGCCAACTGGGCAAAGGCAAATTCAATGAAGCGCGCTAGCGCTTCATGTTGGATTTGCCTTTGTCCAGTTGGAATTCATTTTTTCCTATGAATGCCAACTGAAAGCAGTTCAATACTTATATTTACCATTTTTTGAATCTGTTCATCTCATAGAAAACTCAATTACATTCACATTCAACATTTAGTAAAAAAATAATGAATGTATCGTGTATGCTTGTTCAATGAATAGAACAGCCATCGCCCAGGGAGGGTTAGTGGTATCCTACGTAAAAATTATGACGTCATAATAATGATGACGTCAACAATCGGTCCATGGCATTCACAGCCTATATGAATGCCAACTGAATTTGGTAGGGTCATATAGTGGCAATGCCAACCGATGGTAAATATGGCAATAACAACATTTGCAAAAACATATATTGTTTAAAAAAAGCGTATCCCATGTAAGTGTTTAACATGTGACACGTGTATCTTTTTATTCGCAAAGGTGGGAGAAAAACATGGCACATGGGACATGTGCATTTTTCATACGCAGAGATGAGAGAAAAAATATAAGACTCATATGCAGCTATAGTTTCCATCAAACAATTACTTTTTCCGTGATGTTTAATGATAAATAAGACTTTTCTAATGGGACAACTACATACCATATTTAGAATGGAAAACGTTGTATTACACTTGAAATCGTTTCATGTTTAAAAGTTTTATCACGGACTTAGATAATTCTAAATCCGTGATATTAAGTGTTTATGCTTAAATATACACATAAAATGGTCATGCAACAATGTGCAACAAAGTGGAAAATTATACATTTTTGATATATATACATATATATGTACATATTTAGTGTAACCGAAGCACTTTTGCTTATTGACCCCGAAATGGTGAAAAATAACATAAATAATAATGAGACAAAAAAGAAGCACACGGATCCCCCATTTTTATGTCAGTTTTAGAAAGAGAACCCCATTTTTTTATCCAGATATGTTTTTATATTAAGCGTTAAATCTGCATAAAAGGTGAAAAAAGAGTATTTTGTTATTAAAATATGTGTAACTTAAATTGCTTTTCTGATTTAAAAGAATAAGTTTAATAAATCTTAATTCCATCATTTAAACGATAATACTATTTTTGTGAATTCTGCAAAATATTCATACATATCTGATAACAAACTTGGAAGATATTATATTGTATGAATTTTACAAATGCTCCAAACCGCCAAATTCACTTAAAATCACATATTATGTCAAATTGGTATCTTTGACTGATCACAGTACAAAAACGAGCACACGGACATATATATGCCTTTTTACCTTTGCTGCTATGTCTCAAACCCCGTTTTCCAAAAATGGATATAACATGTATAAGAAAAAAAATGTTTTTTTTACTTCTCAGAGGTGTATCGTTCGTTTCAATTTTATGAGAACTCTATTGTATAGACATACTGTCAAATATGTAATTCAGATGTGCTTTCACTAATACAACAATAAATACTGACCTATTTAAAATATATTTGATAACGAAAAAAACGTAACGTTATTATAAATAATAAACGGCCCCTTTACCAATCATGTTGGATCACAGATCGCTCCCCTATCCCACTATTCATTGCAACCGGAAACGTCGACTCCATGCGCACAGACAGTCGAGAATTGACAATATTGAAGGCCTTTGACACAGAAAAAAATATAATATTCAAGTCAAACTTGAGAGACAGTATCTAGAATTCATGATATTCAGTCTAGAGGAATGGGTAAACCAAAGAACAAAGGCAAAAAGGGGCAGGATGAAGAATTGTAAGTATACACGGAATTATTATTGCCCGGTTATACCAGCTGATTGTGCAATATTGTAATATTGTTTATAAATAGGACTCGCACATTTGTTTAACGACATTTGTTTATTTTTTTTCTTGTTACTATTTAATTGAATACTACATCAAAATGTGTGTTAATATCTGATTAAGTTAAACTATTCTAAATTTACTGTCATAGTGTCCAACATATTTGATTCTATTATATTCATAAATGAAAACTCAACATCATGTCGTGTTTTAAATATTACTTAAAACCGATCATAGCTTTAAATTATTAAATGAATGATATGTATTATATGACAGTGATGAAGCTCTTTAGTTTCACTTTCAACCATCCCAGTATTTGAAAGAGAACAGTTTTATCACTTAATCTGGTGTCAATTTTTTTTTTGGAGACAGTACTGAAGATGATGGTAAACCATGTAGAACAATGCAAGACTGGAATTCATATCTGAAACCTCGATAAGATGAACATTTTAATCACTTAACTTTATGATGAAAAACCAAGATTATCTGATGAAATATATCTATATTATAAACCAGTGTATTACAGGAGAAAAAAAAATGCATAGCCAGACTGGGGGTTGAAACCTGGGACCCATGGAACGCTAGATGTATGCTGTACCAATTTATTTAACTAGTCACTGATGATAAACCCAGTCCAGTTCCGTCAATCTTCTCTCCTTTTTCTAAGTCTTCCCCCAAGACGCAACTATTTGCAACCAAGGTTCGGGTATCCCCTTGCCAAGCATACACCCAACGCTTGAAACAAGCTCTACCAATTGAGCTACCTGGTCTCTAGCCCGAGTTTCCTCAGGCCCTAACACCAGACTTAGACATTTTGACATATAGACGTCTGATGAGGGGCAAGAGCGCACTATGAAAACATGGAAAGTTTTGAGGTGCTGACAACAAAATCTACTTTGACTGTATGACACAACACATACCTTACATATATCGATAAATGGGTTATTTGATCTAATGGAAAATTAGTATGATAGCCACCATGGGAAATTTCAACCCTCATAAATTAAACATGGAGAAATTTTAACTCTCAGGAAATGATTTTTGAAGTTTAATTAGCACTCAGATCTAGAAAGGCCTTACACGATGTGCTAAACTTCAAAAATCTTAACACTTGAGTTGATTCTTTCTACATGATTTACATTACACAGTAGTAATAGATTCTATTAATCTTTTCCTTGGAAAATTCTGTTTATCTTTTCCTTAGAAAAAAAGGATATGTACCTATGTATGAGAGTGGGAGATCTCCAAGATGTTGGTCCTTTAATATATATGATTTGCATCTTTAGTTATATGTTAAATTTTCTCTCTGTTAATAGTGATGACGACATTCCTGACCCTGTCTTAGAATCGGGAGCAGCAGATGAAGAAATTGTAAAACCTTCAACCAAGTCTGCAGGAAAGAAAAAGAACCGGAGGAAAAAGGATGATGATTGGTATGTGAAATACAGATAATTACGAAATTTGATTTGTCTTCATTAGATGAAGTATTTCAATTTGAATATCTGATGCCATATGTACACCACCTATGTCAGCAGCTTTTCAGTGGGTCAGTAAGAAATAAATGGATCAGGGTCATTCTGGATTTATCCTATCCAGTGTTACTAAACTTACTTTTACGGAATCCTTGGTTGTTGATGCTCAATTACTTATCTACTAGTGTTACTAAACGTGAAGTTTGTTCTTGAAATTTGGCAGGGAGGACGACGTTGCTGCTGAACTAGCTGCATTGTCAATGGAGAATAAGGGCGACGATGTCAACGGAGAGGAAGAAGAAGAGGATGTATACGTTCCTAAGAAAAAGGTAGGCCAATCTGTACATGGCAGCGCTTTCAATGATTTTTCGTCTTCTGAATAGGAGCAAGGGAATACAGTGTATTTTGAGATAGTTTATTGATACTTTAACAGTAAATATCAACACCAAACTTTAACAGTAAATATCAACACCAAACTTTAACAGTAAATATCAACAACAAACTTTAACAGTAAATATCAACACCGAAGTGTGATTACCAACACATTCCCAGTTACTCAATTCCAAAGACATAAAATATCATATGCAATGAGCATAACATCAAAATCTTGTCATTCATCAACTTTGGAAACATTGATACATTTATGTGCTATTGACAAATTCTATTGGGTTTATAAACTCATACTCATACAATTTATAGGAAAAGAAGAAGAAGAAAAAGACCAAGGCAGATGATGAAGATGATATGTTAGAAGATGACAATATAGAGGATGAGGAGGTGGTACAGAATAGTAAGAGTAAGAAAAAATCTAATATGGCTACATTCCAGCTACTGATGGAGGATGAAGACGACATGGGGTCGGACAAGGTACTGGTTTTTTTAGACCAAATATCTCATTCTCAGTAGGAAAAACTGCATTTTTTTCATCAATAAATAAAAAAAAATGATTTACCCTGTTTGCATATAAGAGCCAGAAAACTATTGTAAATGACGAACTACTTTTGTGAATGAAGAACTATAAGTCTTTTAAATGTTTTAGGCAGAAAAAATCCACTTTCAATAGGATGTGTTAAATTTCATTTCTGGATGCATGTGACATATCTTTTTTGAATTCGAAATTGAATATTGAATTAAAAAAATGAACTTATTAACGAAGAATTCAGCTTTGGAGTGGGATAAAGCAACTTTATAGTCTGTGCTTTGATTGGAAAGTTGTCGAAATAAAAGGTACGTGGTTTGAGAAAAATATAAATATAATATATTCCATCTTTGCGTATTGCAGAGTTATCTTCTCCGGTGAGCAGGTATTGATTGTTACGTCATTGGTTTTTGTGAGAAAATAAGTGGTTTTCTTAAAAATTGATGACGTTACTCTCACAAACAAATGACGTAACAATCAGTACCTGTATCAAATAAAAAAACTGATTAAAGTTAAATTTAAACATGGTAGTACATGACAAAGCAACAGGTACTGAAATAAAAAGGTTTTATAAATGTATGTATTTGGATTGGGGGCTTATCTCTTCAACTCTCATAGGGGTCAATCTGTGCAGGTGCCTCTTCAGCCTTCTCCATCTTGATTGAGATCAGAGTCTCTGCATGGAACCAATAGCTTTGCCCTGTCTTTTAATTTAAAAGATTTTTTCTTTTGTTATAGTTTCCTTCTTATTTGAGATATTTTCTTAAATTTCAAGTACTTTTTTACATTTTCAGTTTACTTTTTTCTTTTATTTTCAGCATTTTATGAATTAATTTGCAAGCTTTTAACTTTCCAAAAATATTCATTCTTTTGTGCTTAACAAGTGCTTAAACATTTCAGCCTTCTTCATAAATGTATCATGTTCCCTCTTGACGTATTTTTTTCTTAATTTTTTAAAAGGAATATTCAAAGTTTAATACTATTAATCCTTCGTTTGAAAGCAAAATAAGATAATTAAAGACGATATATTTATCACAGATGAAGGACTATTTCACTGTTATTTCAAACAAATTTTTTTTTTCTTGTTTTCAAAATATATGGAGACACTTTTCAGTGTTTTGAAGATGTTACATTTTATGAATTGACCCAAAAATATCGAAGCAACATTATCTAAGAAACTGTAGTATGGAAATACAGCCTTTATATGAAACAGTATATTATTGACTTGCCCTTGTTTCATAAAACAACACCTGCCTATTGTTGGAAAATATGTTGGCACTCGTAGAACACCCCATCTTAACCAGGTAAACATGGCATTGGGGCTACCTATTGCCTAGGGTAATTTCAGTTTAATATTGAAATTTGTAACCAGTTTGAATTTTGTAATCTTGTGCCTGAGCAAATCAGCTAACCAGCTAACCATTGCCAACCCTTGTCATGACATCAGACACACTAAGAATCAAGCACTTTGGCAGTAACATAGGGAAATCTTATCCAACTTGTCACAGTTTATTGATACATTTTGTTTCCACAGAATGTTGATGATGATGACGACGATGATGAAGACAAAGAAGATATCATAGAATCAAAACCTAAAGAAGTTGTGGTTGAGAGTAATAAGTCGAAGTCTAAAAGTAAAAAGGACAAGAAAAAAGGACAAAAAGACGAGGATATTGATGCCATTTTAGCAGACCTAGAAAAACCTAAAACATCTAAGAAAAAGAAGAAGAAAGGAGGGAACGTAGAGGAAGAAGAAGAGGGAGAACGAGCTGCTAACAATGATGTGCCGACAGAGGAGGATCTAGAGGCCAAGATGCAACCCAAGGTTAGGAATAGTTTGTATTCAGAATTATTCCTCCTGGTAATGTCTTTCTCAATAGAAATGTCATTATTTTCACATAGATTAGTTTTAGGTCAAATTTTAAAGCTTAGCTCATACTTGCCAACCCTCCCCATTTTGGAAAGAGACTTTCAATTTTGAATAAAAAAATTAAACATTTTCAACTGGTGAATTTGCTTAACTATATTCCTATTCTTTAAGATATGATGATTTCATCTAAAATAACAGCTTAAGAGATGCCTTTTAAAACTGTTATTTTTCCTTAGGGTATGTGTACATACACACATTTATGCTTCTAAATCTGAGCATGCCTAATCTCTCCCATGATAATTTTAAAAAATTGGCAAGGACACTTGTATGCTAGCTTACTTTAATAAATCAGTCAACAGTTTTATTAAATTTGTCTAAATGTGACATCATTAATTTTATTGTGCCATTGAAAGGAAAACAATTATTGAAATATTAAAAAGCGTTCAGACCAACATTAAGTAATGTAGTGATGCATTTTACTACTACTTTGCTGAAAAATACATTTTTTGTCAATAGTGTTGGAGGTGAAAGTGACCATGGTAAGGCGAGATAAAAGAAATATGGCCACATCAGATTTTATATCTGTAAGGTAGTGGTGCGGGTTTCAAGACAAGGTTCTAGATGAAAGACACAGTAGATATTAGAAACCTTGATATTGCATGAGGTCTCCAATGTTAAAAGTTGAAAAGTGATTTTGAAAAATATAAAGTATACAGGGAAATGTTCAATGCAGTTAAACTTCCGCCCTTAATGACAGCGAATTTATGAGTAGAAGTATATAGCATACCATATGTAGTAATACTTACATGAGAAGGGTAAAAATAAACCCTGGTCGAATAGGGATTTTACTAACGAATGGCAAATATACTGTATACATTTTCTTTTTAAAAAAAAACAAAAAACATAAAAGATATATATTACTATTTTTTCGTATCTGTATTTCTATGCATATAATTGTGTAATACACAAAGTAAACATATTTGATGACTTCACATGTGCATTTGTAGGTGGTGACCATGGAGGACCTAGAGGAGGAAGATGATGATGACAGGAAAAAAAGGAAAAAGAAAGGGAAAAAGAAGGATACAAAGGAAGAAGCAGAAGGGGAGGAGGAAATGGAGGAAGGGGATGAAGGTGAAGAGGCTGAGGAAGGGTCAACTGTAAAGACTAACGCCCAGAAACGTAAAGAAAAGAGAGAGCGTGAGAAATTAAAGAAACAACAGGTAAATATGAGTTTACACATAAAAAAGGACATTCCTTTTCTTAGAAAACATGAAGTTTTTAGTGATAGTTTTGGGGTGATTGAATTAATAACCAGCAGATTCCTGTCTAAGGAAAAGGAGACATATTGTTAAAGTAAGATAAATTATATCATAAGATCTTTTTCAGTGATGCCTTGATATTCATGAATGAGGTATTTTTCCTTGAAGTGATATTCATGAACCAGGTATTTTCCCTTGAAGTGATATTCATGAACCAGGTATTTTTCCTTGAAGAGATATTCATGAACAAGGTATTTTTCTTTGAAGTTTTGGTCATCTATTGGAAATGTAAGAACTCTGATTCGGAACTTCCTGGATTATCATCTGAACTTCTGTTGTGTGTTATAAATGTGTTGCGTGGAGACTAGACTTAATATGTCATCACATCATCTGGTTTTCTAAATTGTGTTCTGTAGGAAAAGAAAAAGCAGAAACCGAAGCCTACTGAAGAAGCCGATGCGACACCAGCCGAGAGTACAGAGGGAGCCACTGTAGAAGAAGGTGCAGAAGGTAAAACATTTCACCTGTCTTTCTGTTATCTCTTTGTGTGCAAGATAAAATGATCTAAATAAGAAAACAGGTACAGTGAATAAACAGTAAGGTAGTTTTCACCCTCGGGTAATCGTTTTGCAGTAAAAACCTAATATGTCAAGGCTGTTGTAATTTTTAAGGTGTTCATATTTCCCTGGCAACAACTATTAATATAAATTACCTCATTAACAGCGCAAAATAGTCTGAACTGAGACCTGAGCACCACTGGCTACCTGTATAAAAACATCTTTTTATTTTCAGGTGAAAACAAAGATGGGGAAGATGAGAAAAAAGAAGAAAAGGAAGGAAAGAAGAAGAAAAAGAAAGGAGAAAAGGAAGAAAAGAAGAAAAAAACAAAGGCTCCTGTAAGTTGAAATTTGAATGAGACCAATGGTATAAAAATGGCTTCCTTCTCGTTAGTCGTGTTTAAAACTAGTCCTAGCAAACATTTACATTAACATATATATTTATTAACTCTTTGATCCATAGAAGCCGATACACTTGGCCACTTTGTTTTATGGGGAATAGGGGAGGCCTGCAAGAAATCATAGTATCAAATATGTATAATGTAAAGTATGCATTTAAAGTAATTTATTCTTAAGACTTTTACTACTTGATGGACAAAGCTGCATAAAAAGTTGCTTGAAATCCATTCATTATAAAAGAATTAAACCTGGTGTATAGTTAACAACTCTGTCAATTGATTAAACAGTAGTGTTCTCAGTTTATTAAAGTCCTTTAAAATTATAAACTGATTAGGCAAACGATCATCAACCAGGTAACTACTGCCGATTGCAAATCGATTATCAATTACGGTATTAAGCCAATTGCCAATCCCAAGCACCAATATCCCTTTAGGAACTCTTGTTTTACTTTAACCCTTTCTCTCCTTTGTAACTTTAATAAACTCTCCCCTGGATAAGTCCATTATGGTGTATCGTGGCAAAAGAATTAAACTAGTTTTACACTTATGTTATGATTTTAAAAGAAATTGAACCAAAGCAGCAAGGCATAATAAAAAGTGTTTACATGGAGACTGTATAGAAGTTGAAGGACACTTAGCTGACGGTACTGTTGAGGTGTAATAAGACACGTGGGGGAGGTTTCAGAAAAAGCTTTCATAAAGACAGAATAGTCACCTTTTTTAACAGAGATATATTCTTACTCACAAATGCTGATGTTTAAATTTACCTGTACAGGTGGCAGCTATCAAAGCTCAGTTAGAGCTGATCAGAGCGGAGGAGGAACGCATCCGGAAGGAAGAAGAAGAAAGGGAAAAGAGAGAAGAGGAAGAACGCGTGAGAAAGGAAGAGGAGGTATGATTGTAATGCAACCTGTAATCTTACATTTTATTTTTATTATTTTATTTATTTAACTTTTTTCATAAAAGAAAATCATCAGATTAAGACATTTTTCCTCCCTATGAAAAATAAATAAAACTTACACTTCCAATGACCCTGGATAAACCTCAATGGTATGTGCCTGTCTGAAAACATGTTCTTGTGCAGAAAAAAACAACTTCTCAACTACTGTGATGATAATAGTTTCAACATGAGACCATCACTTCAAGGTCAAAGTTGCAATTCAGCATCAGATCTCATCTTTTTTGTCAGGAGTGATTTTTTTCTCATGATTGAAGATATGTCAGGAAAGCTAACATTCGTGAACAAGCACTTAGAAGTGTGCCATGCAGTGATTTCCTAAGCCTTCATCCAAAGTCAAAGCCATGAAAAGTGGTCAAAGTTCAAGTAATTTTTGTATGGTCTGTAGGACTATTTCTTCATAATTGGATACATTGTAATGAAGTTTAATGCATTTATTTACCATGATGCATGAATCACTAGGCAAGTTTCTGTATTAAGTTTTCAATACCCAGAACTGAAATCAATGTTTACAGCCACTCAAATCCCTCTTTGCTTGTCTGGAGCATTTCTGACAATATTTGACAGTAAATCCTTGGCCTATTTGTGAGATGTCTGTGTCTCTCTCATACTTTTTCAGTTAAATTTTCATTGATTGTTATGTTGCCTGTACTGATAAAAATGTTCAAAATTATTCAAATTTTGAAATTGAACAATTCTGGGAATTATTGATCATCATTTTGATTTAAAATTTGATTTATTTTCTGACAAATTTGTCTTTAGAAACGTCTTGAGGAAGAGAAAAAGCAAAGGAAAAAGCAGAAAGAAAAAGAAAAGAAAGAGCGTTTGAAACAGGAGGGGAAATTGCTAACTGGAAAACAGAAACAGGATCGCCAGCGAGCCATGCAGATGTTGGAAGAAATGAAGGCCAGAGGTAGAATGCTTCAGCTTTGATCTTTTGTGAAGTTATTTAATAAAATAAAATAAAATAAATCTTAACTTTTGAATTATTATATAAAATGCATATGGTTCACAAGACGTTAATTTAAACTGGAATATTTTGGATGCCAATAATACGGTTTAAAATCAATACTGCATTGATCAATAAAGTCTGTAGTTTATTCTTTCAGAAGCATTAATATAATTACCATCATTTTTGAAACTTTTATATTTCGAAGTTTTCATAATGTTTGTTGGAGAAAAACTAAGCATATGTGCTGTTTGTTATTTATGATTCAGGTATAGATATCCCAAACAGAGACGAAATTGTGAAGAAGCGGCCCATCTACTCAAATCGTAAAAAGAACCAGAAGCAACAACAACACACAGGTATACTGGAGTTACTGATGTGAATGGGTAAAGGATTATCAGTTTTGTTCAAATAAATGACCTTGACTTACCTTGAAGGTCACAGGGCTTTCTCTAATACATCACAAGTAGGGAGTGATATATTTAGACATATATAGCTTTCTTTGGTGAAGGACCATCTTATTTCTTAAAATAAATAACTTTTACCCACTTGAAATGTTTTGTTGAGGGGTTAAATATGTTTAAAGGTTCTACATGTCAAACAAGACAATGTCTCGTAGAATAGTCAACTAGAGCATAAATTTAAATAAAAATGCCTATGGGTTTTGGTATTATCACAGATTAGCCTCTGGATGTTGCCTTGCTCCATTCAACCATTTGACCTTTGACCTGATTTTGCTTTCATAATACAGAGGATACACCATCACCAGTAGAAGAGGTGTCGCCTTCAGTCTCTATAGAAGAGAAAACCCCAGAACCAGAAACGAAAAAGGAGGAAAAAGAAACAGAGGAAGTGGCAGATGCTTGGGATGCAGAGGATGACACGAAGGATGCTTGGGATGCAGAGGATGAAGAGAAAAAAGAAGAGGAAAAGGAAGTAGAGAAAACAACAGAGCCAGGTAAGTGATAAATATTAATGAAAAAATCTTGTATATCTAGGTGTCATCTTTTAAATCCAAGGGCTCGTCTCTTGATACACCTGTCTTCTCTGCACCCTTGGAAAGTGGCAGATCACTATTTTTGAAATAGAGAAAATTCAAATACTGTGAATGACTATTTTGGTGGGTCTGAATTTTAATTTTTAGGGAGTGTGGGTAACAATCCAAGAAGTACCACTGAACCAGCAACTTAATCATTTCATTATCTATTTTACCAACCTGCAATTGAAATATTATTTCAGTCATAGAAGAGAAGGAAGAAGAAATAGAAGAGGAAAGTGACGAGGAGAGTGAAGAGGAAGATGACGAAGAAGAGGAGGAGGAAGAGAGTAGCACAGAAGAAGAAAGTGAAGATGATGATTTGACCCCAGTAGAACGTGCCAGGGATCGCATTATGGTAATGAATCTATAGGTTCAGTATAGTTGAGATAAATGATTTTTTCCACAATTTAATATATAATATATTGTTGCTTGTTTTAATATGTACATTGTTTGTGTATAAAGATGTACATCGTTTTTGTATAAAGTATAACTTTGATATTATATTCTACAGCTGTGTTTGATATGGAATTAAACAATTAAACATCTTTAAAATTTAAAATTCTCAAGTCTGAAATAAATCTTCCATGATTCTGAGAAACAGCAATAAATAGGGCGGAATATAGGGTTTAATTTGATAGCTATTGAGTTCTAAAATGAAAGTTGATCCCAGAATAAATGCAGCAAATCTACATGGTCAAATTTTAATTCATTTTCCAATACATTTGTGTCACCTTTTATTCTATTTCTCTCTTCAGACCACCTTTGTTGTATTTATACTTTTTTTAATAGAAACGGAGAGAAGAGGCAGAGAAGCAGCGTTCAACAGATGTGCTGAGGTCTACTGTTGTGTGTGTACTTGGACATGTGGACACGGGTAAAACAAAGATTCTGGATAAGGTAAGATGGGATTTGATGCAGTAACTAATGTTATCATAGCCATCATTAAAGCAGCAAGTTTGCTGTTTCCGTTTATATATAACTTCTTTATTGGAACTTACTAATCCATCCACCTATGTTCCCCAGTGGATAATCCAATCACTCTTGTTCACAAACGCTTTTTTTCAGTAGATAATTCAGCCACTTGAGTTACCGGGAGTAATCCGGCCCCTATCATTCCCAGTAGATAATCCAGCCACCTTAGTTATCAGTAGTAATCCAGCCACCATCATTCCCAGTAGATAATCCATCTACCGTCATTCCCAGTAGATAATCCAGCCACCGTCATTCCCAGTAGATAATCCAGCCACCTTAGTTATCAGTAGTAATCCAGCCACCGACATTCCCAGTAGATAATCCAGCCACCGTCATTCCCAGGAGATAATCCACCCACCGTCATTCCCAGTATATAATCCACCCACCGTCATTCCCAGGAGATTATCCAGCCACCTTCATTCCCAGTAGATAATCCAGCCATGGTCATTCCCAGGAGATAATCCAGCCACCGTCATTCCCAGGAGATAATCCAGCCACCGTCATTCCCATGAGATAATCAAGCTACCATCATTCCCAGGAGATAATCCAGCCACAGTCATTCCCAGTAGATAATCCAGCCACCGTCATTCCCAGTAGATAATCCAGCCACCTTCATTCCCAGTAGATTATCCAGCCACCATCATTCCCAGTAGATAATCCAGCCACCATCATTATCAGTAGATAATCCAGCCACCTTAGTTATCAGTAGATAATCCAGCCACCTTAGTTATCAGTAGATAATCCAGCCACCGTCATTCCCAGTAGATAATCCAGCCACCTTAGTTATCAGTAGATAATCCAGCTCCCTAAGTTATCAGTAGATCATCCAGCCACTGTCATTCCCAGTAGATAATCCAGCCACCGTCATTCCCAGTAGATAATCCAGCCACCATCATTCCCAGTAGATCATCCAGTCACCATCATTCCCAGTAGATAATCCAGCCACCTAAGTTACCAGTAGATCATCCAGCCACTGTCATTCCCAGTAGATAATCCAGCCACCGTCATTCCCAGTAGATAATCCAGCCACCTTAGTTATCAGTAGTAGTCCAGCCACCTTCATCCCCAGGAGATAATCTAGCCACTGTCATTCCCAGTAGATAATCCAGCCACCTTCATTCCCGCCACCTAAGTTACCAGTAGATCATCCAGCCACTGTCGTTTCCAGTAGATCATCCAGCCACTGTCGTTTCCAGTAGATCATCCAGCCACTGTCATTCCCAGTAGATCATCCAGCCACTGTCATTCCCAGTAGATAATCCAGCCACTGTCATTCCCAGTAGATAATCCAGCTACTGTCATTCCCAGTAGATAATCCAGCCATCTACATACCCAGTAGATCATCCAGCCATCTACATTCCCAGTAGATCATCCAGCCATCAGCCATCTACATTCCCAGTAGATCATCCAGCCATCTACATACCCAATAGATAATGCAGCCACCTTCATTCCCAGTAGATAATCCAGCCACTGTCATTTCCAGTAAATAATCCAGCCACCATCATTCCCAGTAGATAATCCAGCTACCTTAGTTACCAGTAGATAATCCAGCCACTGTCATTCCCAGTAGATATAATCAAGCCACTGTCATTCCCAGTAGATATAACCCAGCCACTGTCATTCCCAGTAAATAACCCAGCCACTGTCATTCCCAGTAGATATGATCCAGCCACTGTCATTCCCAGTAGATATAATCAAGCCACTGTCATTCCCAGTAGATATAACCCAGCCACTGTCATTCCCAGTAGATATAATCAAGCCACTGTCATTCCCAGTAGATATAATCAAGCCACTGTCATTCCCAGTAGATATAATCAAGCCACTGTCATTCCCAGTAGATATAATCAAGCCACTGTCATTCCCAGTAGATATAATCAAGCCACTGTCATTCCCAGTAGATATAACCCAGCCACTGTCATTCCCAGTAGATAAAATCCAGCCACTGTCATTCCCAGTAGAAATAATCCAGCCACTGTCATTCCCAGTAGATATAATCCAGCCACCTGAGTAACAAGTAGAATTGGTTTGGTTTGGTTTAGTATTGTTTAACGTCTTATCAAAAGCTATGGTCATTTAAGGACGGCCTCCCCTGTGTGCAAGATGCATGCGTTTAGTGTATGCGTGTGTATTTTGGGAGGCTGCCACATGTTCGTGTTTGTCTCCTTGCGATAGTGCGGAACTGATGCCGACTTTATAGTGCTACCTCCCTGAAACCTACTGCCAAAAACACCCAGCAGGACACCCCACCCGGTCACATTATACTGACAACGGGCGAACCAGTCATCCCACTCCTAAATTGCTAAGCGTTAAGCAGAAGTAGAAACTACCATTTTTACAGACTCTATACTTGGTATATCTCAGCCAGGGGACAGAACCCAAAGCCTTCCTCACAGGGGCAAACACTCGACTAAAGGCCAAAAGTAAGGCATTGTCAAGGGAGACATTAGGGAGAAGAAATAAGTTCCCAAAGGACTTTGTATGGTTTGGGCTTGTTTTGGCCCCAAATGCATCAAATTTCAAAACCTTTAAATGAACTTTGAAATGACTGTTTCTTTAATTTCGAATACTTCCCAAATACTGTTATGATAATATTTATTTATATTTCTAATTATTGTTACCATGGTAACAAGTTCAAATTTGCATAAATTAGAAAAAATTGAATATTGAGTGAATATTGTGATACTTTGCATAGTTTTTCTCCTAGAAAATATAGAGCGCATGCTTGAACAAACTTAATATCAAAGGATAATGTGTAGGCACCAGTTATACATCTTCAGGAGAAATATAAAGTTTGTTCAAGAGTGAGCTCTATGGTAGCTAAGTGAAAAACTAGGTGAAAACCTGTCAAAATTGACTGAATAATCAAATTTCAATAATTTATGCAAATATGACCTGGTTACCATGGCAGCCAAAATTGAAAACACAAATAAATGTTTACATAATAGTATTGGGGAAGTATTCAAAATTAAAGAAACATTTGTTTGAAAGTTCTATTGCAGTTTTTTTATTTTGATGGATTTGGGGGCCAAAAAAGGCCCAAACCATACATAGTCCTTTAGTGGCCTCTTACGATCATGCAATGGGGGCAGCAGGTACAATTCTTACGCCCTACCTGCAGGGACTTAACAAGTAGATAATCTATTCACCTATGTACAAGATGGGCTGGTTTGCATGAATTACTCGATGAACAATTATTATATTAAAGTTAGCAAATTGGATTGGCAGTGTGCAGAAAATTGGAAATGAACAGTCATCTCCCCTAGTTTGTAAGCTGTGACAATATCTTGGAAAGTTGCAACTTTTTGTCAATATTGGTGACCATTGTTCTTTGTAATTGTATTGTTTTCTTTTGATATTATGTGAAAAAACAAACTTAACATTTGAATGAAGAAAAAAAAAATAGTCACCTACACTCCATTTTAAAAAATACTATGAAAACTGATATTTTTGTAGGGCCTAAATTTTGTGGTTTCCTGACAAAACATCATTGCATAGACATGGGTACATTATAAGTGCCCACTCAAACAGAGAATTGCTTTATATCAAACTTATAATTACCTCTTGGACCTATGAATTTGTATGAAGATTATCCATAAATCAAGTAAACTAAAAAAACATGAAAATTAGTAATTTCCCAGTAACTGCATTGGTACTGGCTTGAGTAACCATGCTCAGCTGGACAACAGGTTCCAAATTACAATTATCTAATTCCTTCCTCTTCCCATGTGTTGAAGGATGTCATGTATGTAAATAAATTGTTTGTATAAATATATATACATTTTGCTTTTTTGTGCATCTTTCCAACAGCTGCGGAAAACCAATGTCCAGGACGGTGAAGCAGGGGGGATAACCCAACAAATTGGTGCTACAAATGTTCCTGAGCATGCTATCAGGGATCAGACTAAAATGTGTAAAGAGGTAAAAGTCATCAGTCATGTATTATTTCGTTTAATCATCCCCCAACTGGCAGGGACTCTTAGATTGTACTCCATCTGTCCTTCCATCTATTCATTCTGTCTACCCATCTGGTCTTCTGGCCATCTTTCTTCTTTTTCCATCCATCCATCCAATCATTTCATCTGTCAGAGCTAAAAGTGTGAATGGATTCATGTGTACTTTTGGTACTTCAAAGGTTTCACTCTCTGTTCTGAACTGCCAAGGTCAAAGCTTTCAATCACTGTATAGATTTTCTTGATCGTAATGTCTGTTATCAGATCTACCCCTATAACATAAGGGGCTGCTGGTAATACCTCTAACATTGTTGGAGTAATATCAGATCATGATAGAGTATCTAATGTTTTCCTGAGGTCCATACCATGACTGTCAGAGTCATTTGCATACAAACCTCTTCATACTGTATATTTGCCCTTCATCAGTAAAATCCATATTCACCCAGGGTTTATTTTGCCCTTTACATGTAAAAAGCATATATATTATTTACTTTCATGATAAATTTGCCCTCATTGCAGAGGGCAAAAAAGGCAAAAAATGTCTAGTCTTTAAATTATTTCTCCATTCTGAATATGATCTTTGAATTGTTGAGAATTTGCATATTCTTTGGAATGGAAAATCTATATTAAACAAAATCACTAAAATTGAAAAAACAATTGTTAGAAACATACATTTTTGGAAGGAATGATTTCACTTTTATCTGATTATTAAAAGAATTGAATATTGAATTTCATGTAAAATCTGCACAATTTCCTTTTAATCACAAAAAATGTAAATTTCCTTGAAATAGATTAATCATGATGTCAGTCTTTACTCATATTGATGCGTTACCACATTCAGGAATTGCAGTGTGGTAGAACCTAACATCATAACTGTACTCTTTTGTTTCAGTTTTCGAAGAAGGAATTAAAAGTACCAGGATTATTAATCATTGATACACCAGGCCATGAGTCTTTCAGGTAAATGTAATTTTAAACCTCAATTTTAAGTTTTCTGTCCTGTAGTACCGATATGTCTTAGTTTCTGTAGGTCTACAGTCAATTCAACTTATCTTGTAGAGTCTTTCTGGTAAATGTCATTTTAACCCTATATTTTTTTTGGGGGGCCTTTAGTATGTCTGTGATAGTTAAGTCCGCTTCTCTTTTTATCAGATTTTTCCCCCATCAGATGACTCGAGATATACGATTTATATGGAGTAATAAATTAATCATCCATTGACTTGAGGGTCTGCGGAACCTCACTCTGTGATATTGCTATAGTAGACTTAACATGGTTTATTTCTGTACAGTGACCTACGGTCCCGTGGATCCTCACTCTGTGATATTGCTATAGTAGACTTAACATGGTTTATTTCTGTACAGTAACCTTCGGTCCCGAGGATCCTCACTCTGTGATATTGCTATAGCAGACTTAACATGGTTTATTTCTGTACAGTAACCTTCGGTCCCGAGGATCCTCACTCTGTGATATTGCTATAGTAGATTTAACATGGTTTATTTCTGTACAGTAACCTGTGGTCCCGCGGATCCTCACTCTGTGATATTGCTATAGAAGACGTAACATGGTTTATTTCTGTACAGTAACCTGCGGTCCCGAGGATCCTCACTCTGGGATATTGCTATAGTAGACTTAACATGGTTTATATCGGTACAGTAACCTGCGGTCCCGAGGATCCTCACTCTGGGATATTGCTATAGAAGACTTAACATGGTTTATTTCTGTACAGTAACCTTCGGTCCCGAGGATCCTCACTCTGTGATATTGCTATAGTAGATTTAACATGGTTTATTTCTGTACAGTAACCTGTGGTCCCGCGGATCCTCACTCTGTGATATTGCTATAGAAGACTTAACATGGTTTATTTCTGTACAGTAACCTGCGGTCCTGAGGATCCTCACTCTGTGATATTGCTATAGTAGACTTAACATGGTTTATTTCTGTACTGTAACCTGCGGTCCCGAGGATCCTTACTCTGTGATATTGCTATAGTAGGCTTAACATGGTTTTTTTCTGTACAGTAACCTGCGGTCGTGAGGATCCTCACTCTGTGATATTGCTATAGTAGACTTAACATGGTTTCTTTCTGTACAGTAACCTGCGGTCCTGAGGATCCTCACTCTGTGATATTGCTATAGAGGACTTAACATGGTTTATTTCTGTACTGTAACCTGCGGTCCCGAGGATCCTTACTCTGTGATATTGCTATAGTAGACTTAACATGGTTTATTTCTGTACAGTAACCTACGGTCCCGTGGATCCTCACTCTGTGATATTGCTATTCTGGTTGTGGACATCATGCATGGCCTTGAACCTCAGACAATCGAGTCCATCAACCTCCTTAAGCTGCGTAAAACACCTTTTATTATTGCCCTCAATAAGGTAAGATAAACTAGCGGTCATGTGATATAGTAACATTTTACTTGAACTTATCAGCAAGACCCCCTTAAATGATCAGTATTTTGGTGGAAAACATACATATATAAGTATATATACCACGGTAATGGGTGAAAGGTTGCTAGGAAAAAACCCTGATACAATAAGATCCTTTATTGTGAGGTGTCATAAAACAAACAGCGCCAGTGATTCTTGTTGCGACTGAATACAGACTACTTCCCTAGTGAAAATAGTGTAACATTTTTCCAAAATGAAAGAAAAATGAAGAATATCTTCCCTTTCCAATAAAATAATGCTAAACGTTTCCATTTCATGTCGGAACAGGCTGGTGTAAATTTAGATTGGAAATAAACTGAGATTGAAGTAACAAAAGTGCTTTATTTTCCCAAAATGAAGTTAAAATGAAGAAAATCTTTCCATTTCAATAAAATGATGCTATACATACCTTCACAAAGTACACTGAGAGTGAAGGATGAGATTTGAATCATTCAGTTAAATTAGTGATATTGGTTATATATTCCATCAAAAATATTTTCATAGGATAGAATTTAAATTATTTTCTCACTAATTATTATTTTTATCATAATATTTAACACACTTTGTTATCAGTCCATTTTGACCCCATTTCAAATGGAAAGTAGTGCTATTTTTCCCCAAAAAAATCTGTTCACAATTCTCAAATTCAGGAAAAAAATGTTTTCATCTTGTTCTTTTTTATATATAAATGACAGTGTAATGTCTAACGTTTAAACATAATACCTTGTTGATTGATCTTGATTAATGGGAATGTTTTAGTCTTTTAAATGGTATTTTTAGGGGGGAAACAAATATTTAATTTCTTATATCTTGTTTAATCATGATTTATTTTTTAATATTGTCTAATATATCATATTTACAAATAGGGGTTGGCAATATATTGCAATAATTTTCAACTAACTTTTGGGATTTTATGCTGAAGCTTGCGAATAATTTTCAGTTTACCATTGGAAGTTGCTCAACTCGTGCTCATGTTATGAACATCTACATAAAATCATTCTCAATCAATAGAAATTCTAGGAATACGAAAGATTGCAATGTATTGAAATATGAAAATTGCCTGCAATACCCTCTCTGATTTATAAATCCAGTCTTCTGGGTTCTTCATTCTCAAACAGAATGAATTCATGAGCAGGATCTGTTCTGAAGACTGTGATATACTTTGACAGGTGGACCGACTTTATCAGTGGAAACCCATGCCTCAAACAGACATTGTCAATGTCATTAAGAAACAGAATCCCCAAACCAAGGGCGAGTTCGACAAGCGTTCCCGCGAGGTCATCACACAGATGGCTGAACAGGTAAGATAATTAATTGTCTGATGTCTCTATATTTGCTTTTTGACAAAAAATCACTATTTTTTAATACCAGCAAATATTAAGCATAATTATATAGGAATACTTTCAAGTTTGAGTAAAAATTCTGGAGTTTTTCTACGGTGATATAAAAAGTTCAGTAAAATGAAGTTAGAATTGAGAAGATTTTGTCAATATTTCAGTGATTACTTCACTTTCAATACCACATGAAAACTATAATTTCTTAGCCTTATGAAACTAGCTGCTGAGAAATAAAGAATAAAATGTAAAAAAATATATATTGTGCTGCATGCATTTATGAATTATCTTCATTACAGGGCCTGAATTCAGCATTGTTTTTTGAAAACAAGAACCCTAAAGAATACATCTCTCTAGTGCCGACGTCAGCCCACTCAGGAGATGGGATGGGTAACCTGATTGCCCTGCTGTGTGAGCTGTCACAGACCATGCTGGCCAAGCGTCTGTCTTACTGTACTGAACTTCAGGCTACCGTCATGGAGGTACGTACCCAAGTCATCTTCACATACTCCACCGACAAAATTCTTATCATAGTATGGTCCTAATGACCTGAGTCACCTCATGGAGGTACGTACCCAAGTCATCTTCACATACTCCACTGACAAAACTTATATCATAGTATGGTCCTAATGACCTGAGTCACCTCATGGAGGTACGTACCCAAGTCATCTTCACACACTCCACCGACAAAACTTCTATCATAGTATGGTCCTAATGACCTGAGTCACCTCATGGAGGTACATACCCAAGTCATCTTCACATCCTCCACCGACAAAACTTCTATCATAGTATGGTCCTAATGATCTGAGTCACCTCATGGAGGTACGTACCCAAGTCATCTTCACATACTCCACCGACAAAATTCTTATCATAGTATGGTCCTAATGACCTGAGTCATCTCTCCTGTGTTGGTGGGCCGTTCAGCATGTAATAATTCATCATAGCCTACCATTTTTCATGGCTGGGACTTGGGGTGACCAATAACTTGACATTGGAGTCTTATAAAACTTTCCCTGCTTGACATTATATTCAGGAAAGTGTATAGAGCTAATTTTAGAAAAGATTTTCTGGGATCAATCTAGACTTGATTCATTACTGTTTATGAGTAGTTTCCCCTACAGAAGAAAATTCCCGTTCTTTGAAATTCCACCAATGTGCTTCGACAAGAAAATAGCATTTTTTCTTCAAAATATTTTCTAATATGTTTTCTTTAAAGTTCAATAGTTTAAATGCATAATACTGCATATTATATACATTTTCTTCACATAATTCAAACTAAAATTCTATAATTTTAAGCTTAAAATTGTTTATAAATTGAAGTATACTGCACACATGTATGTCAGACAAAACATTTATCCAAAGTATGAAGTATTCCTTCATGATGCTAGAGCCTAGTATCAAAATTTTAATTTCCAACAAATCTGAAAAAGGGTAGATTCCCCCAAAACCTGGATTGATCCCTGATTTCTTAATGTGGAATTCCCTATGGGTCACCTTTTTAGCTCCTCATTTGAAGAATAGAGAGTGCATATGTACTTGTCCTGCAATTAATGTCAGTATTGATTAAGGTTTGGTGCAAGTCTTGAAAATCATTAATATGACCTTTAGTATTTGACAAGTAGTATGCCCTCAAATTAATTACTTGCAAGGTCAAGGGTCAAATTTGTTTAAGCCTTAAAAAACTTCTTCTGAACAACCATGAGGCCTAGGGTGATGGTATTTTGCCAGTAGTCTTAACAAGAAATAGGGCCATTAAGTTTGAACAGATGGATGACCTTGACCTACTTTTTTTAGTAATTTTCATAATTTCTGTTTGTGACTTTATTTCTCATTATGCACTTAATTTGTCATCAGTAAAAGCAATTTTTAATAGTCACCTTGACCAAGATTAAATTCAGTGTGAGTATTGACTGGATAGCACTTCATATACCAATTGCCTGTATTCCAGTTGCAATAAAAGTATGATCAAACTACTTTGAATAATGGGACGCTGAATTAGGATTAATCTATTTGGTGGAATTATTTTAGAACCAAGGCCAGATACTAGAAAAAAGATATCAACCTTTTTTTTGTTGATGTCAGAAAAAGGATTTAGCAAAGGGTGCCTACATGAACTTTGTTTTCACTGAAACTTCTAGAAAATGTCTTTGTTGAACTTGTGTAAATACTAATCTGATGATAGCATTTAAATCAGCAATAGATTACATACTTGTGGTTACATTACTAGAAATATTAATTCACATTGAGTCAAGCACTGAGTGATATTTCCAGTATTAGTTTCAATGATGACCATTAATTTATGGAGGACTATAGATAACCCCAAGATAGTTTGCCTTATTTAGTTGGTTTGATATCATGTGATTTTATTAATTTTTGAGCTTCTCTTGTAAGCTATATTTATTTCACAACAATTATGAAACAAGTTATTACAACTTATATAAATCACTCTTGTTGGCCTGGATGTTAGCGTGCAGGATGTCTTTATGTACGAGGAAACTAAAGTACCTGGAGAAAACCCATATGGTCGGGCAGGTGACCCCATACCTTTCCATTTCCAATCAAGGAATCAAACCCTGGTCGCCTTGGCGTAAGGCAAATGTGCTATCGCTGCGACACACAACCACTCACATATCCATTTCTCTTGATACACTTATTTGTATTATGTTTCTGATGACAGTTTTCCGGACATAACACATTCAAAACTCATATTAAGATTATGAAAAACTTCAGAGTCCATTTTCACATCTGATATGATATTTTTTCGTAACTTGACACAGTGAAAGTACACCATGTGTAGATGTGCATGAAGAAAGGTGTGAACGATTGATCTATTTTTCAGGGAGCTATGGCCCTTGAAACTTATTCTGGCTAATTATGATAAACGTTTAACCTAAAGTAGCCTGTTTTCGCAGAAAATTTGTGTTATGTTAATGTGTAACATTGCTATATATCGCAATAAGTCAGGAAAACTATTATCATAGAAAACAGTCAATGGATTTCCTTCCATTCTGACTAATCTTTTGTTTGTTTATAAGGATATTTTAAGAATTTTGTATGTGTTTAACACTGAAACACAAATTGAATGATATGCGAGAAAAGAAAATATATTCATCACATGATCAAGTGGTGTTCAAGTTTCAGAACATAATAAGCAACTTCTTATAATATATGAAAAGTTTTACTGAAGCAGACATAGACTCATAACCATTAGGATGATTAGGCTGTAAGGAATCAAGAGTAAAAGCAGTTTGTATTTTTAATCTTGCAAAATATTTAGTCATTTTGAAAAACAAAATGTTGTTGATTAATTATCAAGGATTAAAATAAACAAGATATAAATCAAAACAGCTAAAGAATTATCCTGTAAGAAAAAGTTGATTTGAAAGTATTTTTCTTTTTTCTATTTTAGTTACAGCTTTGATGCATTGAAATAAATTGATATAAAATATACGCTACCAAAAGTAACACAAAAAGTTATCTCCCTTTATTTGTTACTGGAGAAGTTTCTCCTGTTGATTCTAAGAGTTACTTCCCCTAGATCATTACAGGCAGTAGAGTCTAGCAAAAATCTTTCAAATAGTGTCCTTGATACTCAAATGAATATTTTTGCATGGTAAGGAATTTTCATCTAGGTCACACTGTCTCTGTAATCTCAGCCAAAGATAGAGAAAGTTTGCCTTCTCAATTTGTGGTAAGACTGATAGTGGTCAAGGGCTGAACATTGTGTAATGTTGGTGTTTACACATTGATAATCGGCTCATGCCTTCAAACTGACCACAGGGGATCACAGATAGTGTAAACATTACAGATATGTAGTCAGTTAGAAATGTTCAGTAATATTTTAAATCTGTATTCATGATATATTAAGGTTTTGTGAAAATTGTGTTTCTTGAAGGAAAAAGAAGGGGTTAATGGTTATTACTAACCTTTATATTGTCCCATGTAAGTTATACTTTATTACCAACATGAAATAGTTAGAAACCTTGCATGTAGTGAATTAAATTCTTAGGTTCTTTTAGTTCTGTTGATATTTTTTTTTTCTGCTTTATACATAATATATTGTATTTGTTCCTTATGTTTGCTTACTAACTTTTTATGCTGTGGATGTTATTGACTGAGGCTGATCCACATGTTATACATTTAGTGTGTACACACGACAACAATATGTCATCCTGGTCCCCGTTGTCGTGTACAGACGACAAAATAATAGGCCGTCTCATCCCCGTTGTCGTGTACACACGACAACAGACTTTGGTGTAACTTGTCTTATGTTTAGCTGGTTATCGCAAGCGACAATCGCGTAATACAATTATTTGTCGCTAAAATCAGCACCAATCAGTTTGAAAGAAATAGTTTTATAGGTGCAGAGTACACAATTTATAGTTTGTGACCTATTGTTTTCGAATCTGCCGCAAGATGTTTTCATTTGGTGATTCAAAAAGGGCTGATCCATGTGTTATACATTGAGTGTTATTGACCCCTAAAGGGCTTATCCATGTGTTATACATTTAGTGTTATTAACCCCTAAAGGGCTGATCCACATGCTATACATTGAGTGTTATTGACCCCTAAAGGGCTTATCCATGTGTTATACATTTAGTGTTATTAACCACTAAAGGGCTGTTCCATGTGTTATACATTTAGTGTTATTAACCCCTAAAGGGCTGATCCACATGCTATACATTGAGTGTTATTGACCCCTAAAGGGCTGTTCCATGTGTTATACATTTAGTGTTATTAACCCCTAAAGGGCTGATCCAAATGCTATACATTGAGTGTTATTAACCATACATTGAGTGTTACTAACCCGTAAAGGGCTGTTCCATGTGCTATACATTTAGTGTTATTAATCCCTAAAGGGCTGTTCCATGTGTTATGCATTGAGTGTTATTAAGCCCTAAAGGGCTGTTCCATTTGTTTTACATTTAGTGTTATTAACCGCTAAAGGGCTGATCCACATTTTATACATTTAGTGTTATTCACCCCTAAAGGGCTGATCCACATGTTATACATTTAGTGTTACTAACCCCTTAAGGGCTGTTCCATGTGTTATACATTTAGTGTTATTAACCCCTAAAGGACTGATCCACATGCTATACATTGAGTGTTACTAGCCCCTAAAGGGCTGATCCACATGTTATACATTTAGTGTTACTAACCCCTAAAGGGGTGTTCCATGTGTTATACATTTAGTGTTATTAATCCCTAAAGGGCTTATCCATGTGTTATACATTTAGTGTTATTAACCCCTAAAGGACTGATCCACATGCTATACATTGAGTGTTATTGACCCCTAAAGGGCTTATCCATGTGTTATACATTTAGTGTTATTAAACCCTAAAGGACTGATCCACATGCTATACATTTAGTGTTATTAACCCCTAAAGGGCTGATCCACATTTTATACATTTAGTGTTATTAACCCCTAAAGGTCTGATCCACATGTTATACATTGAGTGTTATTAACCCCTAAAGGACTGAT